ATTCCTCCCGAGGCAGCTGTCAGCGAGCAGTGAAGGATGCGGTCCAGCCGTGAGAAGACGCCCTTAGCGCCCCAGGTTCTCGGCCTGACAAAGCCTCCCTCCCCAGCGCGTCCTCGCTCTGCGGCCCGGCTGCAATGGGTGTGCTCGGAGAAGGGATGACTGATGGGGCCCGGCGGCGAGGGCCACAGGCCGTAGATGATCGGCCACCGGCCCCTGGGCCCCGCGGGTGCTGGTCTCGGCCACCCACCACCTGCCTTTCAGCACAGCCGTCCACGCTTTCTCTGGGGAGGTGACGTTCTGTCTGCAGAGGCTCGGCTCTGCCACAATGTCTGCCAGAAGCTGCCGGAGCCCAGGAGCTCGGTGCTCGGCGCAAGCGGCTTTTTAGGCACCGGTTAATGTTGGGTCCGGTCCACCCGATCCGGCCGGCGTGGTACCCAGCAAGGTGGACTTCGCTTCTTGCGCGTCAGACCCTCCTGTGGCAGACGTGACATGAGACCAAGGACTCGCGTGCTGTGACGTCAGCCACGTGGAGCGTGAGCAGCAGGTGAGCGAGCCGGACTGCTCCCCCCGGGGGCTGCTCCCTCGCCATGGAGTAGTGCCTGAAGGTTCGTTAGGCTCCGTGGACCAACAGCCGCAGGCACGCACCCCTCCCAGCAAGAAGGGCCCCCAGCATGGGGCTGAGGGGGGCTGCACACAGCTTCCTACGGTGGTGCCTCTCGGCCACTGCCCGCCTGCGAGTTGAGATTCATCAAACTCAGCTGCACGGGAGGTGCCCCCTGCAAATGATGGTAAAGTGAGAGCGGCCCTGGAACTTCGGCGGCTTATTCGGTTGCTTCGCTCCACCGGCCCCAAAGGGAAACTGAGCCAAAGTCGTGGGTTTGCTAGTTGCTCTTTCTTGATGGAGCCGGCAGTTTGGGTTTAGTCTCCGCATGAGTCACAGGAAGCCGCTGCTTTTGTTAAAACAAGTGTGAGCGCCAAAGAGGACGCCAGCGTTAGAGGCACCCGAGGTGTCGCTTCGGGCCTCCGAGATCCCCGCCCGTCTTGCCGCTTGCACGGGGTGCGCCTGTTACCTCTGCGGGACACAGACGAATGTAGATTCATGTAGATCATTCTGGAGCAACGGCCTCAGAGCAGCTGCTCCTGGGAGCTGCCCCGTCTCTATTGCCTGTCCCTCCCCGTGAGGGTCAGCTAGTGGAGCGAGGCTGCAGGGAGCTAATGCCGGCCACTCTCGTCCCTGTGGCCCGGCTCCGGGAGGGGACGGCCGCGGGCTGTGGGGAGTCACAGTGGTCCGGGGCGGGCAGGCCCGCAGGCACCAGGACTCGCCAGCTAACTGCTCATCTGTTCCGTCTGTTCCGTCTGTTCTCAATGCCTCTTGGCAGCTGCTAGTGCTGGGTGGGGAGGCGGCAGCTCTGCCTCTGGGGAGGTGACAGTCCCCAGAGAGTGACAGGAGAGGGCAGAGCCGGGGGCTGCCCCTGCCTGGGCAAATCAGGGCAGGCTGCAGGGAGGCGGTGGCACCTGGCTGAGTTGGTGCCGGCCAGGGAAGAATCAGAGGGTGTTCCAGGTCCTTGTCCCCTGTCCCTGTGCACAGAGCCCTTCTCAGGCTCCTCGCTGTTAGATCCTCGAGTGGCCTCCGGGGACAGACCCTTGGCTGGCATCACCATTAATATGAGAAAAAGCTGAAGGGCCGGACCGAGGTCCCACAGCCAGCAAGTCAGAGCCGCGTTGGCAAGCAGGTGTGCGAGATCCAACTCCGATCTCAGTGGCTCCCAGGCTGCTGCGGGCCCCTGGGTCCCCTGCGAAACCCAGGGCTCCTGTCCTCAGCCCCAGCATGGCCCCGCTGGCCGGCACGATGGCCGCGAGTGCTGTGTTCAGTAACGTCTGAATGGAGGGAGGGTCCTGTGGATGTCGGCTCCTCTCAGAGATGGTCATCTATGTGAGGGTTGGGAGGGATATGTCCTAATTACAGACGCCGATGAATGTAATTAGGTGAACTGATATGTGGATGTGCCTAGCAGAGCCCGGCGCATAGTAGGTGCGCAGGATGTCATTACTGATAGGAACCTGGACCTTTTCCCTAAAAATGGCCCAGGTTCCCACTTCCCACCTGTCCGTGCTGAAGCACCATGTGGGGCGTCTGAATCTGACCAGAGCGCAGCGCCCTCAAACGGTCCCCTCCCGCCCTTCTTAGAGGTTGCTAAGCTCTTCTGCAGTTTGAACCCACATCCTAACCTTCACCTGTGAGCACATAAGGATGGTTACTCTACTTCGCGTTTACAGTTTGAAACTCTCGGTGGCGGGGGTGGCCCATTTGGGGGGAAACAGGACCGAGTCTGTGGCCGAAGCCCATGCACAGAACTTGGAGCGAAACCTTCTGGGCTTGGATGTTGATTCTGTTTCTCGCTGTGTGGCCTCAGGTAGGCCACACAACCTCTCTGAGCCTCAGTTTTTCTTTTCAGCAACACGTGCTGGGTTATGAGGACCGGAGGGAGTGCGTATTGTAACATAGCCGGTGGGCTGTTAGGGGGACAGATGAGCCACTGTGAGGACGCCGTTGGGAGCCGGAGAGCTAGTGGAGTGGGAGCTGGAGCCCCGGAGGGACAACAGGCCAGAGGGAGGCACAGGGCGCGAGCCAGGACCGTTCGCCCCACAGTGGCTCCGGCTACCTGAGGGCTACCCAGCAGGCACGGCCTGTGGCCTGGGCTGGCGAGTCGCCCCGCTAGAAGCAGGGGGTGGAGGCCACGCTTCCCAGGTCCCATAGCCTTGAGTTATCTCGCTCCGTCCACAAGCACATCCGGTTCGTGCTCCAGGCCAAGCCCTTGCTGGTGCCGGGGAGCAGGTGTGTGCCCGAGCCCAGATCCTGCTGGAAAAGCTCCTACTGGCTTCCCCAGGGCCCTGAGGCCCGCAGAGGAACGGCCTGGTTTTCAGGGAAGGCCCCTCCCTGTGAGTGTCAGAGAGAGAGAAGGGGGGAGACGGACGAGTGGCAGGGACGCTGTGTGTAGCTGAGGACGCTGGGCAGTGAAAACCGGGGGTACATTTGCAGCCTCTTCTGTGTGCGGCCCGCAACCCGCCCACGTGCACAGAGG